AGCCTATGAATTTGCATTCGTGGAGTGCACAAAGATTCAGGACTGAGAGGCTGACTTAACATCTTGGAGCGATGAGCTGGAGTGGGTTTGTATTGGCTAGTGGGAATCAACAGTTAAATTTTTATGAACTTTTCAAACTGACTGATTTCATGTTGATAGCTTGAAATTGACCACAATGGAAGCATTTACATGAAGGAATCAGCAAATGTTCATTTGGGACTCTGTTTTCCTCTGAGAACCGGCTGGTAAAATATAGCAGCTCACCACTGACTTGTTAAACCATGCACTCCCTGCAAAAAGTCCCCTTCCATTTGCTAACTATGTGTTTTTGATGCTTTGACCCCTCTGGCCTTGCTGATCCTGGACAGACTACCCCTCCAAAGGTAGCCCATTCTCAGAGATGATAAAAAAAAAATTAGCTCATGGGGATGCCTTTCATATGCAGCCCAACCAATCAGAGCCATCCTGGAATTACTGGCCCCCTCCATCATGGGCTACCAACCACATGTCACTCAAGGGCCAGGCACCAGAAAACTAGGGAAAGGCCCGAGCCTCAGAGCCCACTGAAAGTATCCAGACTAACCCATCCAAAACCTGCTTTCCCTGCCTCGTTTTTTATGCCCACAGAAACCACAGTAAAGGCTTTTGCCCAACCCCATCTCCTGACCAACCTGGTCCTTCCCTCTATGGCTTTCCATGGTATGGCATGCCTGATCCTCTTGAGAACTGTGAATGTACCATGCCATATTTTTAATAGCAATCATCTGCTCCTCAGTTGGCATTGCCATAACTCAACAACAATAAAAGCTACAATGAAAAACACCAACTCATAAACCTGGAGTCTCATCTCATAGAGGGACTACTTTTCTCTCATTCATCAAAACAGAGTGGGTACCTGTTTTCATGTTCACAAAGGGCCCATAGAAACGATACACTGGCCTCCCACAGAAAAACATAAGCCTATAAACCATAAACAAGCTCCTTTGATTCAGGGAGACTCGGGGTTTATGGCAGGGAGAATTTACCTGCAATTGCCCTTGACGCTTTTTCTTATGACACTTGGGTATCACCAGTGTATCCTAAGTTAGTGATTTAAAAAAAAAAAATTTAGGTAAAGTAGTAGTGGTGGTATGAAGGAGATGAGTAACCTGTCCTTGGTTGAACTATATCAGGTCATAGTGATTGTGGGTCTTAAATTCAGCTCAGAGTAACCAGACATGGTGACCAGTCCATGTCAGCAGTAAAGGCAAGACTGACTGATTCACCCTCATCAGTTGAAGCTGGGCAGGGTTTCCTAATTACAGCAGGGTCTAGGCACCCACCTGCTTTGGCCAAATGATTAGTCACTCCCAATGTGTTGTTTTCTTTAAGTATACTTTGCCCTTCGAAGACTTCAAAGTTCTATCTACATCCTTTATAAGTGGTGGTTAGGTTCCAGGACCTGTGAGTATATCCTGCTGAAGAGTGGCAAATATTTACCACCCTTATCTGGGCACACGTGTCCCAGTCTAGAGGCCTGTATAAGTTCAAGTCTCCCGCATGGCATACTGCAGGAATCTGTGATTTTAGTGTAATCGAAAGTTCCAGAATGAACTCTACATCAAGCACAACCACAAGAATGGGAAGTTATACTCCATGTATGTATGATATGTCAAAATACATTCTACTGTCATGCATAACTAAAAAGAATAACAAAAAAAATTACAGAATGCACCACAAAAACTTGGCCATTTGAACATTCGTATTTGTATGTGCTTTATTTATATTAAAGATGTGATATACTTTGAAGGAAAACAGGGGTAGTTATGAAACACAAATGGTAGCAAGAGTTATTTTGGACTTGACTGTAAGATTGGATATCTCCAAATTATTTGCAAAATTAGATTCCCAGGAATAAACTTCAATATCCAGCAAATATGCAGTAACTTAGCAAACATATAAAGAAAAAAACCTCCAAAACAAAACAAAAAAAAACAAACAAAACAAAACAAAACAAAAAAAAACTAGACCCTGTTGGATTTTGAAGAATTCCCATGGGAAAATAACAAAGGCTATTAAGTTCTGCAAATAATTCTATTACACACAGATATGTCACTCAGTGGCCAGATAAATACACATTTACTAAGTGTTATGGAGGCCACTTGGGAAGAAGGAAGCACTTAATACAATTATAAAACACACAGCTCCTTGTTCAGGATAAAGCATTCTTTAACACACAAATGGGCTTTAAAAACATCTTGCCAAAAACTTGGACTCCTGAAGTCACAGCGAAAGGCTCTGCTTTGTACCATTTTTTTTTTCTTTTGTAATGTGTACTATTTTGACCCTCACAGAAATTCTCTTTTATTCTGACCAGTGACTACTTCTCCATATTTTAAGTAATTTTTATAATCATGCTCTTAATTTTTAATTTTGAAAAACATACCCTATTTTTTTCCTTCTTAGGCCACAATGCTGACAATTCTCATGTGAGAGAATGATCCAAATGTTGGAAATGATAAATATCCATAGTAGAAACTCGTGTGGTGTCTGTGAGTGACCATGCCATCAGGGAAGGTGCCATCTGGCTAATCCAAAACACCTTATGTCTTTAATAATTATAATTCAAAACCGATAACAACGGATAACGTGGTTAATAGTTTAACAATTTCTTTTGGCTACCAATTCCATGGCAAAGCCTTCAATCATCCCAAAGAATTTCATCTGTGTGATCTTTGACCTTTGATTTGTACTCCATGAAATCTCTAAAGGGATTTTTTTTTTACATCTTAAATGTCAAGGTTGAATTTCTACTGAGAAAAAAAAATGAAGGCACAGATTGTCAGTACATTATTCAATATGATGAATTTACATTATTCAATTTTGATTTTGGCAGGAAATTGTTTTTCCTTTCACCCCAAAGCTTTGACATTTTGTACAGAAAGGAGTATACCACCACGCCTGTAATCCCGGTGACTCAGGAGGCTAAAGCAGGAAGATTGCAAGTTTGAGATGTTTTAGGGAGACCCT